CAGGAAATAAAAGTCTGCCCTTTGGGTGGTTCTTTTTAATGTCAAATTATCAGTGTTCACCGATGAGATGAGCTGAATTTTAAAGCCAATGCTGCTCCATGTTAACGGGCAGGTTGTCAGCTGACTGCTCTTGCTGTTTCCAGCACAAGCCCAGCGAGGACAACACATGTCCAGAGACTGGCACCACAATACAACTATTATACTGAAAACATCCCCACTTTCCATCCTCCAGCAGAAAACAGAGCCGCTTCTGTAGTCCCCCGATATTTCTCCCACCCTTCACATTCCACCCTTCTGCTCGTCAGAAGCGGTTAGATAAAGACACGAAGCGGCATTATCAAATCCCAGGGCTCGGGACCGACTGTGCCCACCACGATTCCTCAGCAGATGCTCCCCACGGTCATCAGGAATGTTTCCGTTCACCAAAACCGGCTCGCAAGCTCTTGGTGCTTGCTTTAACAGCTGCTGCTATTTAAGGCAGCAGGGAAGAGGTATGAGGGATACCCAAGGCCTGGGGTGGTTTGGTTTGGGGTATATTTTTGAGATAAAGGAGTTTATTTTTAATAGGTGGCCTCAGCACACGCAGGTTTTGTTTTACTCCCCTTCTGCATAGGTTGGCATGAATTGGTCCCTACAGACTCATGTTTCCTTTGGTCTCCAAAGAAAGATAGAGAGACAAATGGTCAAAAAGCTGGTAAAACAGGTTAAAAAAGCCCCTTGCTGCTGCCTGAGGCAAGAGGGACACCAGAAGTACAGCCTCGCCACATGGAATACAGACCAAAGCAGAAGAGCTGTAGGCAAAGCCCAAAGAGTGAGTTGCACTGTAGGAATCCAAGAACAATCTGTGACTTCTCGCTTCCACAACACCCAGGAGACTCCTAAGAAGCCCAGAGAACTGCACCAACGCCCAGGGAGCCACCCTCGGAAAGGAGGAGGAACGCCCCAGCACAGAACATCTCCAGAAACCTTGAGCAAGGCCTGGTACCTCTCTGAGGGAAATGATTCTTGGCAAATGATGGAGAAGGACGCCCCAGAGGACAGAAGGAAGGGGACACCCAGGGAGTTTAGGGGAAAGAGAGCCCTGCTTAGCAGGGCTGAGCTTGCCCCGAAGATCAGACAGCCTCAAGAAAGCGCAACAGGGGAGGGGACGCGTTGGGGTACCGCAGAGCTGATGGAGTGGCCAACGGGGCAACGGGGGCAGAGCACCCCGACACTCCAGCCCCCAGCCTGGGCCGCAGAGGAGACACCTGCCCACCCAGCCTGTTAAAGCAGGAGACCAGAGATGTCCCTCTCTGCAGAGGGACACAGCGCCCCGGAGGATTCAGCGGTATCCGTACCTGGATGCTGAAGCTCTGGGACTGGAGGAAGGGCAGCGTTATGTTCTGGTAATCCTCCCAGGTTTCACGGATGAGGTGCACTTCTTGGCGGAGGTACTTCTGAAGGTGTTTCTCCGTGGCGGGGTACACCACCGTGGTTTTAATCTCTAGAACAAACACGGTTACTGAGTTACCGGCGCAGACAAAAGCCACGTTACTTCCTTGGTGCCCGGCCAATAAACGCCATGCTAACGCATTTTTAAAACAAACTGGTAAAATAGCAGAGGGGAAAACAGACATGGAAAGCAAACAAGTGCTTTAACCTCCAGGCTACCTCTGCTCTTCTCAAGAAAGGAGAGGCTGACAACACAGCCAGGGCCTGTCTTTCCAGTTCAGGTAGAGGAGTTTGCTGTCTGGAAAGGGTTTTTTTCCCACACTCGCTCTCTCAGGCGTATCAGCAACATCGGGGCAGAGCTGGGGCTCCCAGCGAACAGCTTATGTGCAGTCAACGAGAGAGAAACACAACGCCAGGGGCAGAGACACGTCTCCTTCACGCTGAAATCTCACAGAACATTATCAAGCAAGCACCCAGCAACTTTCTCCAGCCCCAAAAGCAGATGTCACACAAGTAGCAGGGCCACGCTAGGGCTGGCTGGAGGAGCAGCTCCTTCCCAGAGCTCCCAGCCATCAGGACGCTCGGCCTCCAGGGCAGGAAGCAAAGAGGTCAAGGGCACAGGGACAGATGCAGGGCAAACGATGTGGGCTGATGGGTTAATGTGGTGCAGGATGAGCTGAGGGAAGAGGGCTGGGTGATTCCCTTGCACCAGCTGACAAAAGAGCAGTTCTTTACCGTAGCAAAAGGAAAACAATTTCTGTTTACCCTGAGATTAAAGCTTTGCTGTGCAATTTCTGTGGCGTTAAAACAGGATACAAGTGTGCTCGTCCAGCTTCGACCTCGGCAGCAAGAAAGCTTACACATGAACCCCCAACATCGGAAGGAT